GATCATTTGATGCAGCGCATAGCAAATCGACCCGATAAAATATTCGAGATATAAGGGTTAATGAGTTCACAAGCATAATTAAGGAAAAAAAAGAGAGGAATTTTGTAGAATCATAACATATATTGATTCATGTAGACATGCCTTGAAATTTGGTTTCAGGGACGAATTACGGTAAACTGCGGTCAGGATAGTTTAGGTAAACTGCGGTCAGGATAGCTTATTTAGAACTATTTTGTATGTCGACTTGCGATAATAGGTGGTTAACGTCCAATGTTTTTATCAAATTAAGATTATTTTACATCCCCTAGTTATGGGATTTTTTTTTATAGCTACCAATGTTCCTCGGAATATAGCGATATTAAACTATCAAATATTAATTTGAATTTGTGAGTACATTAGTAGCTATGAAGTGATCACCTAAATGATCTCAAAATCCAAAAGAGCCCTCTCCACGTTGCTTTATCCTTTGTCAATTCATATTTACACTTTTTTCCTCATCACGCCAAACAAATCCAGCTCGTCCTATATTCTAATTTGGTAATATTCGAGTGATCTCTAGTCTCGTTGTGGCTTGGCACTCGACGAAACATAAGGATATATATTAGCTATAGTGCACTTGCGACGTATATAATTTTTAAAATTCAATAATATCTAACCATGCATGTTTATGAGATTTGAGCTTCTTGCATGAAAATGAAGTAAATTGTGATGGGCGACAAAAAGTTTTGGGATCAAAATATTTACGCGTTACTTAAATTATATTAAAAAATTATATTTGTACTATGACATTTGATTAGGAAGTTAAATTGAATTATATATTCTTGCAAATTATACTACAGGAAAATTGAGTATCTTTAGCGGCCGAATAACGCTATCTAACTAGACGATCCAGTCTTTTTGCATCGGTTAAAGCAATCCTCGCAATGAAGTTCAAAGAAAAATGCTCAAAAGGTATTGAAGAGTTGATGAAAGAGGTTCTCACACTTGCATTGAAAGATCCTCCAAGGAGTCCCACTACTCCTCCTCTCAATCCTCTCCCTAAGACTCGCGACTAGGGCTAAGGTATGGTCCTATCTATCCTTTGTATATAGGCATGTCAATCGGGCTAGCCCGAAGCCCGCAAAACCCGTACATATTTGAGCCCGGCACGGTCCGGTCCGTAAAAATTCCGAGCCTATAATTTAAAAGCCCGGCCCGGCCCTAACAGGGCTTTTTGGGCTTTTCTCCGAAAACCAAAAAACAAACTTATAATTGATAATATCTCTTAAAAAAGAATCTATATATGAAACGAGTCAATCAAAATTTATATAACCGCTAACGCTAATTTAGTTTTAAAAAAAAAGAGTTAAAATCAAATAAATAATCCAAAAATAAATTGTTTAACCTTATACTAGATAAAATATAAAACCAAAATAATTCAAATTAGCTAGTAGAGCTAATATTTGCTTTTTCGATTTATAGTAATACATAACAAAAAAACTATGTTTAGGGTTTTTAACTCTATCAAAAAAATTTTTTACAACAAATTTTACAATTAAACGAAAATATTAACAAAAAAAAAGATCAAAATATTTTTTAAAGTGCTTTTCGGGCTAGCCCGAGCCCGGCCGGGCTAAGCCCAAAAAACTCTTTAGCCCGAACGGGCTTAGCCCGAAAGGCCCGATTTTTTCTGGACATATATTTTGAAGTCCGAGCTCGCTGTTTTTCAGGGCTGGGCCGGGCTAGCCCGCGGGCTTTGGCCCTAATTGACATGTCTATTTGTATATACCATTTTATTTCATTTTCTCTTTGTTTTTTTCGTTATGTCTTTTTCTCGGAATTATTCTCACACCGAGACGGTGTGAAATAAGTTTGGGGGAGAGACTAACCATCTAATGTTGTGTTTTGTTTTGATTTTATTTCTTTGAGTCTTGCATTGTTAATAGTTATGTTTTGAGAAAAATCAAAAAAAAAAAATTGAAAATTTTGAAAAATCCAAAAAGAATCATGTAGCTTTGCATATTCATTTTCTCTTTTAGGATTGAGTCTAGAAACATTTAGTTACATTTGCATATTCATAGGGGATAATGATTTAATTACCTTGTAGAAATTCAAGCTTATGATTGAATTTAAAGCCCTTAATCATAGTTAATTGTTGCTGGATCATCTTGGAAAAAAATGGAAAATCCATACTTAGACCTTTGCGTTTTTCGAAAGCAATTTCTACTTGTGTGAAGCTTACATGACTTTGAAACATCTCTATGAATTTGAACTTAGTTTGATTTCAATCTTCTCGCTTATGGATTTGAAATGCATTCTTATGGTTGTCTAAAAAACTCATTCGGGTTTTCTTATCCACTTTGCCACTCTTTTGTAAACCCGAATGTCCATTCTCACATTTAGAATGGTTTCCCCTACCGAAAACCTTCAAGCTTTTCTTTCAAGCCTATGATTGGTTGTGAGTGAGGTCTCTTGTTTGAAAATGCTATAGATTTTGAAATCTTGAGAGTATTGAGAACGACAAGGTTTTAGCTCTTGTTTTAGCTAGATTTTGGAACATCTTTGACTAGCTACTAGGTTGAGAATGAAAGAGTTAGGTGGTTAGATTGAATATTTGGGATTGAGTTTGAAAAAAAAAAAAGAAAAATGAAAAGAAAGGTTTGATCATGCAAATAAAGAGTTCCTAGGGAATAAAGTTAAGATAAAAGCTCTAAGTCTCTAAGTTAAAAGACAAAGAAAAATGTGAAGTTAGTTCCCCAAAAGGAAAAGAAATTTACAAGGTTATAAGTAATGGGAGCAAAGAAAAACAAAGTGAAGAGATAGAAAAGAGCTAAGTATTTAAGAAAATTTTTCCCTAGGTACGTGACTACAAAAAAACAGTGATCTTGAAGTTGGTGATTTAAAAAGACCAAAGTGTCTAGTGTTTGGGGTAGAAAAGAAGAGGAAAAGAATTTTCAAAAAGGGTACAAATAGGAGTTTACATCTAAGGCGGGTAGAACAACAAGAGCTTAACTTTGTATGCATAAATTGTTCTTGGTCTTAGATGGATTTCATGATTGTCTAGCATTTCTTTTCTTGAGAGAAAGCCACCAAAGTATGAATCTTTTGAAACCACCTCTAAAAACCTTTACCAAAATCGATTGAGAATGATTTACTTTCCATTTGCGAGACCGCGCCAAACACTTGAATGAATGTTAAAGAGATATTTCAACTTGATTGTGAGTCTTTACTAATAGTTAGGAATTGAAATAGAATCATGCGTTGAAATGAGTATGGAAAAGTACGAAAGAGTATGATGATTGATTCAAGCAAATTTGAACTATCTTTAAGGACTTTGAGTTGAATCTTTTGTTTGATATTTTGTGGCTATAAATCCCCATTTTCAAACTTCTCTTCCATCCTATTTCTTAGCCCTTGCTTGAGGACTCGCAAGAGATAAGTTTGGGAGAGTTGATATATTGTGTTTTTGTTAGTTTTATAGCTTCATTTCTTTTACTTTCTTATCATTTTGCATTCATGTTTAGGTTCTTAGGTGCATATTTGCATTGTATTTCTTCAATGTAGGTTCTTGGAGTGGAGTTTGGTGTTTTGGGAACAAATGAGCAAAAAGGAAGCTAAAAGAAGGCAAAATGAGTAATAAGGTTCAAGGAGGGATCAAGAGGTGAAAGGAGATGTTAAGATGTGGTGAAGAAAGAAGATTGAAGAAGAGAAGAGGAAGCAATAGACCAACTGGTCGATTCCTGGGTCGATTGGTACCAGACCAGAGCTACGGACGACACTTCAATCGATCACTTAATCGATCGATTGCTCTACCCAATAGACCAAATGGTCGATTAAGTGGTCGATTGGGCGCCTAAACCAGGTCAAAACCCGGTTTGTTCCAGGTTGACCCGGTTCGTTTTTCTCTTTTCTATAAATACTCTTAACCTAGTTTTAGAAAATTTTATGCTTGTTTTGAATTTCTCTTTTCTCCTTTGAGATTTTGTATGAATCTTAATTATTTTGTTGCAATCTAGTCTTGTTTATTTTGAGATTTTTTCTTAATTTACTTTTGTCATTAAGATCATGCAAAAAAACAACATGGATCTTTGTGTTTTCACTATGATTAGTGAGTAGTCTCTTTTGAGCCTTTGGGTTTAGTAGATTAGGGTGGTTGTTGATTGATTCAAGATGTTTAGGACATAATCTTTATTGATCCTTACTCTCTAGGTGTTCTTAGTGCTAGATTAGTTTTGATTAAGCTAGTCTAGATCATAGG